CAACTTCAGCGCATAGTTTACAAAGACTGCGTGCTAAATAAAGCTTCTGACTTCCACGTAACTCAGCAACTTCAGCCTTCCCGTCACAGCTTCTGCCACATTCTTTACCTTGCTGAGAAGGAATACACGTACAGGTATTGCTTTCTGTCTATAAAGTCAACCAAGCGAAGACAACAAGCTTCAAACGACTTCAAAGAACGTTCAGATCTCTTCAGACCTCTTCAAACAACTAAGGCTAATCTCTTCGCAACGAACTGTTCCAACAATGGCGCCAGTGTTTTACCGATTAATGATGATCGTCATCCTCGCCTTTTTAACTGATCAATGTCGTGGTAGGAACCCATTTTGGTTCAGACCCACTCCAAAGCGTGATCAACAGTATTATCAGTGTAAGTATAGAGGCACTTAGGTCAATTGTTTTTATTGCCAGGTCTCCGAACGTTATTGTCAAAGTAGGAAATTATAATTTCATGAATGCTGGTATTTCAGTGCTACGTTTTACACCCTCAAGGAATTCTTCGGTTAACACCACTAGGAGAACGAGGAAGACGAGAAGAAAAGAGGAACTCCTTGTTTTCTTTAGCGTTTAAAGACCACTATAGATAATGGGGGTGGTACGATTTCGTCATTGCATCAGGATAAAAAAAACGTATTCTTTATAGCGAAATAAAACCTCTTGCCCCAACTGATTCACCTTTTTCGCTAGAACAAAAATACTGGTTCAAGTGCTCCCAGAGTCTTAAACGAGTGCATAACCATACTCTTGGTAAAACTCAAAGATCCATAAGAGTTCAATGTGTTTGATGGGCGAAAGGTTAAGTTGATTAGGATTTTGATATAAGTACACGTAAGTAACACGTTAACGCGTTTCCATTGTGTGCCAGTGTCAGTGTATGTCAGCTCCTTATGGAGAGCAAGCAGAGCACGTTTTTTATTTATTTATGTATTTGGTTACTCATATTTTTTTTAAAGCATTTCAACACGTGCCGACTGAAAATGAGACCGCAACGAAATTGGTCACCAATTTCTTTCGCATACCCCTCTCGTACTTGTCTCAGATTGGACGGAGCAAGAGGCAGGTCACACAGGAAGATATTGTGGTGATTCTGGATCGTTCAGGTTCGATTGGGGACTGTAACTACGAAAAAGCAAAGGAAGCCTTGAAGACCATGCTTGACATTGCGTCAGAAATAGGATATGACAACAGATATGCAGCAGTGACATTTGCAAGCCATGCCACGACCGATTTTACTTTTGTTGCTAATCCGGACGCAGGAATTAAGATAAAGAACCTTCCCTATATCCGTGGGGCAACCAACACTCAGGCTGCATTACAAGAAGCAAAAAGGGTTTTTGAAGATCCTTCTTCAGGTATGTGCAAATTCATTTTCGATCGAAAGCTTTTATTTTAAGCAGAGAGCGTCAACAGTTACAACAGCATTTCTCTAGAACAATCTGGAATCTAAGGCTCCATATGGTAATGATCTAAAGTTCTGTTAGTCATTAAGTTATAAAACTATAACCAAAACCAAGCCAGCCTCGATTTTTTGCATAGACGGTATAAGTCTTTCTCTGATAGATGAATAAAGGGGAGTAAGTTTCTAAAGAAACTGTGGTGCGTTGGTGGGAGAGTATAACAGGGTAGCTTAGTAATATCAACTGAGTTGATAACGTAAATTGGCCACCGTAAAGAGTTTCAAACTGACGTTTCGAGCGTTAGCCCTTCATCAGATTTCACTCTGACGAGGGATGAACGCTCGAAACGGCAGCTTTGAAACTCTTTACGGTGGCCAATTTACATTATCAACTCAGTTGATAATACTAAATTACCCTGTTTCTCTGATAGAGGTTGCGATGTGATCGATCATAAGTTCTGCCGCTATAATTTAACAATTGGCTACATGCTTAAGGGACGCATTGAAAATATCGTGTGCTTTCCACAATAACTCTAAGTCAAAGTCAGTTATAATGATCTTTGATAAACCAGTTTAATACTTTACATCTTAACATTAGTTTTCATATATTCTTTACACTGTTCTCTGAACACTTTCAATGCCGGGTGCTGATAAAGAGAATTTGTTTGACAATCTGGAGCTTCTTAAATTGGCGATCACTTCCTTTGTTATCTTACCTTTACATTTGATTTAAGGGTGGTACTCAAAAAAGAAATTAGAATTTACTCAGCCTTTGGGGTTAAATGACTATGATTTTTAGTGAAAAAAAAACTTGAAATACGTTCACTGTAAAACCTACTTACTGCATTAATTTGTCCTTTTTCAAAGGGAAACGTCCGGGTGTTAAAAAGATTGCTTTCCTTATCACCGATGGGCATTCAAACGTTGATCCCTGGAAGACCATACCAAATGCTAACTTATTGAGAGCTAGTGGTGTGGAGATTTTTGTCGTTGCTGTTGGAGATTACAAATCAGGAATCAGTGAAATCGTGGAAATAGCTTCGCCAGACCGTAAATACCACGTGTTCCGCGTCGCTGACATGAATGGCTTCCTGGATGTTACAAATTTGGCTTTTAAGTTAGTTGCTCCCAAGAAATATGCAGCTTTAACTCCTCATAAGAAACTTTGTTAAAACGATAAATATCAAACTTGCCTTCTATTTTAAGTCGTAGTTTCAAAGGAACAGTAATTCAATATAACTTATTTTAGCATTTAAGTAATTAGTTTATTATTTCCCTCAAGTTTGAATATCACATTGTAATGGATCCAAAGTCAAGTAGGAATCGTAGGAAACGTTTTCAACCTTTAAAATAGAGGATTTTGTGAGTTCGTTTTGTTTAATATTGATTGAAAGAAGAGCTCTATTGCTTTCATAGTAAGTTTGGTTAACAAAGGAATGTAATAAACGAAGGCGCTAATTCATGGCTTAGATTAATGTTGTCATTAATGTTATTACGTCAAGTTTTGTGGTCACTTTTTGTTAGACGTTCAAAAAGGTGAGAATGGAGAATTTGGGCACAAAGGTGGGAGAATACTGCTGAGGACTGCGTCTGCAGGATTTATGGGTAGACGAAGAAATTAAAAAACAACTTCATGACCGGGAAAAAAGTTGGATATTATCGTTTTCTAGATGGCGTTTACTTAGCATAAAGTTGTATTAACCCTCCCGCTCTACGAACTGTCAGACACTTTTCGGTCGATAGTGAATTGCCATCTCACGATGTTATGAAGCAGTAAGTTTGCATAAATTGAGTTATTGACTAAATCGATTCATGAAGACTGGCATGACACTGTGGAGAGGCGCAAAGTAAAACTTTTAAAGAACCCCCGCACGATCTAATAGGTTTTTTAGTCAACAACCGTGCAACTTTGTGGAACAATTGAACTTTGTAACCTGAAGCACTTGACGAACGACTGAATTTCATCCTAAAATATTGCAGTTGTTGATCTAAGAGAGCAAATGGGCCAGGGCAAGAGACAATGAATATCGTGCTTTGGACCACCATTTCGCAGATGACGGAACTCCTCAAGGTCATTCAAGGCCTACTAAGCAGCGTTTCTGGGAGGGGTTACTTTTGGGGCAGCTTGACATCTTTTTTTTTCTTCACTAAGCTTGATGAGAATGTCAACGATCAGGAGAATTGAACCAAGTCACAGAGCTCTACGACAAATGCGCTAAATAGTCTCCGGCGTTACAAAAGGTAACATCATGTGATATTGTTTTCTTCGGGGGAAGTTGTAAGAATATGTCTCGATTATTTTCATTCTGATCAA